TAGAAAAATCATTTAAAGAAAACCTTTAGGATATGTTTCTCAAAGGTTATTTGAAAAGGCTGTGATCCATTAGTTTTGAATTTGCAAAATCCTGGACATTACTTACCCATGTGCCAAAACTGAAATGATAATAGATGTTCTGGGCAACTCTAGTAACACAGGTGTGCATTGTGCTGTGCACACACACAAAGGAGTGGTACATGTGCACGAGTGTGCATGTATATTTGCCATTATTGATTTTTTTATTGACTTTTATTTTTCCTCTGATGATTTAGCAATATCTAAAAGCAGCAAAAATGTGGATGAAAATCATTATTGCAAGTGTTAAGTTGTGTTGGAATTTTTAAATCTATATTAGCAGACAAAATCCCAGAGCATCGTTCTCCTGGATGGCAGTGCAGAGGGGTAATTAATCACTGAGGGGCAAAACTATATTGAGTATTTGCTTGTGCTTATCCTGAACCAGCTCAGTACATGGCATGATTGCAACATGTAGGATTGTTTTGGAATAAAGGAGCACAGGATTTTTTAGACTTTTTACCTCAATAATTTTTTTTTTTTTTTTATTGGCAGTAAAATGGTAATGCACTTAAAAATGCAAACTCTAACAATAAAAAGGGTTTGCTCTGTATTTACAGCTTCTGAATAACGATTGCAGAAAGGTGGTAACTTTTAATTTTGCATTAACCTAGCTTGGCTCCGCAGTGAGCGAGGTGCAGAGCTCGAGTGACGAGAAATGAATCAATCGCTGTCTGTGCCTTGGCTGTCCCCTGTGAAACAGTCTAAACCTGTCAGATTGTGACAGCTTGCTCTATCTGCACAAATGACACCATTTTTGAGAAATCAAGGACTGCTGATATTGCTGTAACAGATCTAAAAGTGCATACTGATGTGATCTGCCTCTTCCTGTGAGATGGAATTTGAAGCTGCCAATACGTGGAATATTTCTGCTGCATCAGCTTATCATCTCAGAAATGTGGATCAGAGTTTTGAAAGAGTTCAGCATGGAACAAATCTCCATCTTGTCTAGCTCTGATACTTCAATCCTAATACATGAAAACCTGATTAAAAAAAAGTCTCTCATACTCTAAAAGCCACAAGCAGATTAAGCAACTGCCTGGAGAACATCCTTGAGTATCCCAGACATATGGGGTACTGAAATGTGTTGTCCACCAACTCTATTACATCTTGTATAAACAAATGTAGTGGAGCACTTCTCATCTCCCAAAGCCCTAAAGAGGTTTCCAGAGCACTCAGCCATATCCTTTGTGTTTGAATAGAGCTTGGCAAATGTGAGAAGTTTTCAGTGCTTTGGCCAAAATGTAAACTGAAGGGGAAACAACTCAATTACAGTCCAAGCAAGGTGGCTATTATGGATGTATTTTAGTTTTACAATGGGTGGAGAAGTAGTAGTTGGGCTTGGAAAAACCTTGTTTTGGTTAAGTTGTTAAAGGAAACAAGGAAGCTGTTAACGAAACAAGTTGTCCAATGCAAACTAAAAAACCTGAGTTTCATGGATGGGGGATTGGTTTGGTTTTGTATAAATAAAGGAGAAAAGAAATCCATTTAAAAAGAAAAGTGCCAGTTAAAAATTAAAAGCTGAAAAATCTAATTTTGAAATATTTTGGAAGAAATCCACACTTTCCTTACTGAAATAATTTTTTAATTTTTGACCAGATGTTGCAATTAGTTTTAGCTAACTATATTGAATTACTATCTGGTAATAAATACACTTTTTATCAAGATGTCTGTCCACCTTCACCTTAAAGCGTTCAGGCAGAGCCAGTGAGAGATGGGTAAGTGTTGCTGTCCTGTTAAAAGAGGGATTATAGAGCCTTTAATGTCTTTTGGCTTTCGAAATCTTATCCAACAGATGTGTGAACGAGCTTCATTTCCAGCCATAACAAAATAAACATTTGTCACCTTTAAGAGAACATTACTGACAAAATGAGACCTAAAGATTTGTGAAAATTTTTTCCTAAATTGTTCATTCATTGTAATTTTTTTTTGTGGTTTGAGCACAGCTATAAATCCAAGTAAACAGCATCTAGCTCTGTTCTAAATAAAGTGCAATGGAAAAAGGAGTTTAATTTCTCCTTAAGATCTCTGGAGACTTGATGTATTTTTGAAACACGATTGGTTGCCCTGACACTGTGACAGCAGCCAGTTGTTTCAAAGGAGCATTTGCTTGCTTCGAAGCAGAGTAGTTGACCTTGATACTGCTGTACTCTCAGTGGGAAAGGATAGTCAGAGGATAAAGCAGTGGCTGGCAGAGGAGGCAAAGGCAGTCCATAAAGATCAAAAAGCTTTTCTAGCATTCTGATAAAAGTAAAGAAGTAAAGAAACACAAACCTGGTCACTGTGGTTGACATTTCTTGCTCTAGTTCCTCATCAAGAGGCTCAAAAAGGCTGCATCTACCTCACTGCCCCTTGCCCGTGATGCAGGATGAGATGCTTTTCCATGAAAAATTCACAATCTTGAATAGCTGAGTGGGGCCTGAACCCCTCCAGGGATGGAAACACCTTTGTCAGACTGCACCCATTTTCTATGGTTTGTGCATATTAACTGAGGGACTTTGAGTTGGCCATACTGTTCATTACCAGTGCCATCCAACCTTTGATGTTCTCAGGGTACAGACCACATAATAACAGCTGCTGAGATACCCTCTGTTACAGTAGTTACTGTGTATACATTTTCCTCCTATTACAAAACTGATTGAGTAATGATTTTTGTGACTGTTTCAGCCTTGTATTCTGTTCATGAAATGATAGCGACTGATTTTTTTTAATGTACTATTTTTCAATCAATACATATTTTTTAAACTTTTTTTTTTTCCTCTTTGTTGATCACCAGGTCTAAACCCAACTTGTCTGTTCACAGCTGTGGCTGTTATTTACTGATGATAAGAGTCTGAAAACTTTTATGAAACAAATACTAGATGGACAGTTTCATAATAGACATTCCATACTGGTAAACTGAAATGCTCAAGTGTTCTTGCATGCAAAATGGATGCAAAAAATTGATTAATTTATAATCTCAGCTTGCTGGAAATAAAAAAGCATATGCATTACTTGTCCCGTGCTTTTTTAAATGTAACTGGTATATTGGTAGCAGCACAAATTGGCATGTAATTTTCAATATGCTCCATATAGTTAGTAACACTGAGGATATAACTGCCTGAATTGTCCATGTTTAAACAGTGATGACAAAATTATATAAGAGCCTGTTAAATACAACTATATTAATAGTTTAAAATTATAGTTGAATAACTGACAGTTAAAACTATATTAAACCTAACCATTGATGCCTGATCTATTTGGACTCAGGCCTACCAACTTGCCAGCATCTTTTCCAGGGATATATAGGCCTGTTTACTGGTATGCTGGGACCACACATTTAACCTGAAATAATAGTACTGTGAGGATACAGGTGACCACATATTTTTAGTTTCAGGGCATTCCTGAAAGCAAACATAACAAACCAGCTGGTAATCACTTGGCTACATGGCCACGTTCACCATGTATTATTCTCTAAACTGACACGGAAATTGTGAACTTTCAGTATGAATGTGAACAGCCCCAAGGGCAGTAAGGAGGGGTGGATTTATGAGCAGACAATGGACAGATGAGCAGACAATGCAAAACTATTTGTCTATGCTTTGATTCATAGAAATGAGTGCGCCAGGCACAATGAGAGATGGGCAGACTCATTACTTCATTTCATTCTTCTGAAAGGACGCAATATAATGAGGACAGAAAATAGAATATGCAACGCATTCTTTTTTTGTCTTTAATGTACTCCTGTGGTTTACTTAATTTTTTTTTTAGCCTGTTACACCAAAGGTGGAAAAGAGAAAACAAAGGAAAAGCAGATAAAGGAGTAATGAAAGATAGAAACTGCCTTACTGGGATTCACAGCCCCATGAAAGGGGGCTTGCACAGTTCAGGTGGTCTAAATTGGGGTAGCTCTGTAATTACAGCCTATTGGACAGACAGAAAATGTCTCTGGAACTGCCAGACTGGATTTTTTACAAGAATTAAAATTGTTGCTGTAATAAGAGATGAAGTGGACAAATATACTCAGTAAAGTCTATTAAAAATAAACCTTGTGTGTGTATGCCTATACTTCCAGTTGAACTCTAGGCTGGCAGGAATCAGCCTGTTACTGAGAGGCACCACTGCAGGACAGCAGGACATCAGAAGGCAATAAGCAAAATGACTACAAAGAAGACTATTCCTCTGTACACTGCACATATGCACAGCAGTGCATGCAGTCAGCAGAGCTGTCAGTGCTTCCTGGCAAACACAGACTGCCTACAGGCTCCTACAGGCTCAAAAGTCACATTATATCTGTATCTTCTATATTTTTCATTACTATGTGTAGAACAGCTAAGCTGTAGCGCTGTAAAGTAATAACACTGTGCTTACCCAAACAATTAAAACTTACTTATCTTCCCTTGAAATACCAAATAGTAGTGGTTTACATAATGGCTTTTCCTCATCGCAGTCAAGCAGTCACCTTGCCAGAAAAGGCAGCAAACACCAATCTAGACTAAATAGCATGTTCATCCATGCAATGATGGGGCGCAGCATTAAGACAAATGTTTTCCGTGCTGCAAAGGTCCTTATGAGGCAGAGAAGGGGCCCCAGAATATATTCCAGGACCTGACTTTGCCTCTCTGGAACAGAACAGAAAGATTCCTCATGCTCCAGCTCCTCCAAGCCATAGTGCTTTGAAAATATAGCATCTGGTCCAAAATCTAGTAAACTTGGATATTCTAACTGAACATACATTTCATAAACTGTATAAAATGAATCTGCTGTGCTAATTGTTCTGCTCTAAGGCTTTAAGGGAATGCCAAACACGAACAGTTGAGTTGTGGGAGGCGTGTCCAAGGCACAGGATACGTGCGGGGCAGAGGAGCCCAGGGGAGCATGCGCCGACATAGGTAATCTTATTTGTCAAAGAAGCGCTGATTTTAAAGTAAATTCTCTTTGTTCACCATCTCACGAGGAGGTGTTTTTCCTTATTATATAAGGACATTTGCGTACCCTACAGGAATCCTAGGAAGGAAAGGCTGTGAAATCATTTCAGTTGGAGATGGTGCTCTGTCCTGCAATAAGCAGGATAGGAGATTGTGGCCATATCAGCCTGATGTGCTTGTGCTTCCTGGAAAGAAGTTTAGCTGCAGGTGGCTGAACAGGCTGTAAACCCAGTGCACTGAAGGATTTTTCTTTTTCTCTGTAGGTGATGCTAGCAAAGAATCTGGATGTGTCTCAAGGGCTGGTGAACGGGGCACGAGGCGTTGTTGTAGGATTTGAAAGTGAACAGAAGGGTAAGTGAGCTTCTTGATCTCTTGTTGAAGGAAGAGGGGAAAAATAACAAAACGATTTTTCATTGATGGCTGATGACTTCTCAGCTTTCTTTACTGCCTGGTAAGAATAATTTGAGGGAAAGCAGGGAGGAGATCTCTGCAGGCTTGGGGCTCTCACCA